AAAAAAAAAAAAAAAAAAAAAAAAAATTGATGATATTACAGCTCTGGGACTGGCCAACTTTATCTAAACAACCATGTCCTTTTCTGTCCTTGAGACTAGAATCGACAAAGTGATAAGCAATTGCACTCAAAATTCTTCTGCATTGCTTGTTTTTCATAACAAGACTTCCACCATCAAACAGTGCTAAAAACTCGTCAGAAGAAAGGCAGTACAACAAGAGGCATACCAAATAACAAAAAAAATTTGGAAGCTTCCAGACAACGCTCCTTCATTATTTCAGAGGCAGACGATTAAATAATAATAACTCCTAGTCCCAAAGCACCAAAATTAAATCCAGCTCGAACACACAACGCTTACAACAAGCAAACGATTTCATGATTTTTTCCCTAATCCTATGCAAAACCATTTCATTCTACTCAAAATTTATGTGAAAAAGGCTAAACTGTCGATTCTAACCACATAAAGGACAAAATCAAGCGCCTAGGCATCTTTTGCTCGATCACTCCTCCACAACCCTTACAGATTTAAAACTTTATACCACAGGCTTCACAAATAACGAAATTTCTTTGTCCACATTACCCAACCGGTCTCCCTAAGCTACTTGCTAACATCAAAATCAAAAACTGCATAGTTTGTTGTAAACAGCTCTTTAGAAACGAGGCAACCAAAACTGTGCAAATTGTTTTGTTCTGACCAACCCATCTTCTTTTTTTGTCCCCTAAAACGTCAGTGTTGTGATAGACAAAACTGTAAATGTTTGAGCATTGTGCTTAATACGAAGTCTTGTAAAATACAGTTTTCTATTTACAACTTCACTTTTATTGAAAGTATTGAAAATTAGAAAACATACCTAAACAAAATTATGTTGTAGTTAAAGCAAACTAAATCGAAGGTTACATAAGACAAGACGATATATAAAATTTGAGTAAAAAAAAAGGAAAAATCCAACCCGTCTAACAGTTTGAACCTGTAACAACTGTAAAGAATTGCTTTACAAACAGTGCCACAACCTATAAACTTAATTTTAACAATATTATTAAAACGGTGACTATAAAATGATCCCCAATCCATACAAATCTACTCATCTTCACTTCCTGTTCCTCAGAATCGCAAAAGTTCGTCGGCCGCTCAACAAGGCTCGCAAGTCACCCACAGAACAAAACAATGGATTGTAATAAAATTGCAGTACAATTCGGCAGTAAAATGAAAATACTTCCAAAAAAATCTAACCAGACCTCTTAAACCCGTGTTCATCAAAATATCTTCCTCACCCCATTATTTTAAAACTATTCTAGCTGAACAAGTTCAAAGTACAGCTTAACAAAAGCTAATTTGAATGAAATAACGTAGACACAGATGAAAAGGCGACTGTAAAAAAGCAGAATTTTAACTTAGAAAAGAATCTCTTATAACGACACGCCGCAAACTTCCCCATTAACAGTAGTACTTAAAGCTAA